CTGCTCTCTTAGCACATTTTAAGTATACAGTGTAAATTAGTAACTGTATACTGTTCACATAACACATATCACAACCATTGCACTGCACATCAGGTCCCAGGAGCTTACTCTTCTTGTAACCAGAAGTCTGGAACCTCAGACCACCATCTCCCCATTTTTTTCCTTTTCTTTAGGAACCCTCTGCTAACCACTGTTCTACTCTTGGGCTCTTTAAGTTTGACTTTTTAAACTTCCACCTATAAGTAAGATTATACAGTATTTGTCTTTCTCTGTGTGACGTATTTCACTTAGTGTAAAGTCCTCTAGGCTCACCCATGTTCTTGCAAATGGATTTTTATATGGCTAGTATTCTACTGTGTGTGTGTGTGCATACATGTCCACATTGATGGTGCATTTTCTTTATCCATTCATCCATCGACGGACACTTAGGCTGTTTTCATACATTAGCTACTGCAAACAATGCTGTAATGAACATGGGAATGCAGGTATTTCTTTGAGATACTGATTTTATTTTCTTTGTATATGTACCTAGTAGTGGGATCACTGGGTCATGTGGTAAAATTTTTGTTAATTTAGAAGAATCTTACAGTGTTTTCCCTAATGGCCATCCCAATTTGCATTCTTATCAAGAATATGCAAGGGTTCCCTTTTTTCCACATCCTCACCAACAAGTGGAACTTTCTTTAGGTGGCTTTTTCTGATTCCTAACCCCTAGCATCTCTATTAGATATTTAAATTAGTCCTTGTCATAGTATTAGTTCTGCTGTTATTAAATGAAAATAACATAATTTTAAGCTTCCTGGAGGCAGTTTTTTCCTATTTTGTATGGTATTTATATCTAGCACTATTAACACTAGAATGAGTACAATATGATTGTTGTAAGAGTCAAATAAGATAATGTTAATGAATGCAATTTTTAAAGCATAAAGATTTATAAAAGCACAGTTGTTGTGGTTGTTCTTCCTATATGAGAGCTCCTCTCATGGAAATTTTATATATCAGTTTGGAGTCTTTGAGCAATCATGAGAGAAATAGATAGTTTAAATATGTTCCAATGATCTCTATGAATTTGTGTAATAAAAGTTGCTATCTGCACAAAAATATAAATGAAGAAATTGGGATTAATATTCATAGAATGAATTGACTTATGCAAAACTCTTTTGTATTATGAAAATATACATGTTTAATTGCTTTCTGTTGTTAAGAGGAGCCAATAGCAACCTCAGAGTTAAGTTATGTAGAAGTGTTCCAGCTCTAACACTAACAAGCTTCATGCCTAATGGTGAGCCACTGCTCGCCTCTGTGGCCCTATTTTTTTTGCTATAACCTGAGGGGGTTGGATGTTGGATTTTGACTAATCTCTGTATCTGTTTCTTATCTGTTTGTCTAAGGTCTTCAGTAGATTTAAAAATTAAAATTTTTTTGTTTGTATGAGATAGTCTTGTTCATTTATTCTGCATGCATTTTCATAAAGGAACATAATGGTTTTTTGTGGCTGAAGTCCCAGGTGACATGTTAGCATTAAAATTACTCCCCTTGTAACACCATCGTGACAGACCTACAGTGCCTTTTTCTGGACCAGTTGGCTGGCGAAGCCTATCTATGCACTTTGTAGATTCCTGAACCTGCATTCATTGTGAGAGGCATCTCACCTTCTTCCTCATGTCCGTCTCTGGAGATGGATGAGGCATTCATCTGCCAGCTGCAGTTTTCTCCCTTCTAATCAGTCAGTTCCTCTTACTGGAACTCTGATGTGTTTCCACAGTCCATGGAGCTAGAGACTTTGTGATGTGTTAATGCTTCTTTTTGGGCTTTACTGGGCTGGGTTAGACCCCATAAAGATGATTAAATTTAAAAAAAAACAAATACACTAATTGATCACAAATATTATAAACAAGATACAAGAAAATGTTACTTTTAAAAATATAGGAGAGGGAGAAGGAAGGGAAGTTAAGGGGAAAAAGGGGGAGGGATTTGGAGGAACAAATAGGAAGGACACAGGGAAGAGAACTAAGGGGGGGTGGAAATGGGAGGGAGGTGGGAGCAAGGGGCGGGGGAGGCTGGGATGGGAGAAATAGACAAAAAACTGTACTTGAAAAATAACTAAATAAAATCAATTAAAAATTAAAAAAATAAGATAAAATAAATATAGGAGAATCTTACTAGGTTTTTTTTTTTTACAATGCCCATGAAACTTTTTTAAATGCTGAGATTTAAGTCCTAAGGGGTTTTTTGGACGTTTTTTTAAAACTGTTTTGACTTAGCTATTGTATTTATGATACCTTGATAAGTTTTGAAAACTGCTCCCAACTTGTCCACCAATACTTTGAACTGCTTTCACCAAAAGTGAATGTATTTGCATTTTGCCAAAGCTGTGTATTATTAATTTGTGCTCTAGGACTTTCTTGTGGAATCATGCCAAAGCTAATCTCTTGCTCAGGTGACCATTTCTCTTGGCACCCCTCTCCTGTCATCCTCTTGTTGCTCTTCTCTGCAGTAATAACTTGAACAAGAATTTTCATCTCAGTTCTGTTTGTAGGGAACCTGACCTAAGACACTTGGTTTAAAGTGGCAAAGATCAAAACAAAGAAAAGAAACTAGTGGATTAAGAAATATTTGAAGATAGAGTCTACAGAAATGGATCTGCAATAGAAGAGAAAGTTCCTAAATTTTGTTATTGAACAACTTGTTGGCTAGTGGTACTATTTGCTAATAAGAGATGTCTAAAAGGAGCAGGTTTGCAAGGTCAAGAGGGAAAAAATTCCATTTCAGATATAAGTTTGAGATGTCTCTCAGTGCATACATATGTCAGCCAAGTAACTGAATGTATTAATCTTTTGCTTCAATAACAGTTCAGCCTGAAGATCTATATTTAAGATTCAACCATGGTATACAAATGGTGTTTGAAAGAACGTGCCTGAATGAGGATAACATGTGGAACTGCAGAGGAAGAAGAGGTAGTTTCCCAGGGATGTGTACTGGCATGACAATACTGAGAGGTTTATCAGAAAAAGACAATCTAGCAAACACATTGATGAGCAGTCAGGGAGGGGCGAGGAAACCGCCAGAGGGCTGTGTCACAGAAACCAATAGAATCAAGTGTTTCATGAAGAGTGTGGCCAACTGTTGAATGCATCTGGGTGGTGGGTGAAGCTGAAGACAGAGAACAGGTCATAAAATACAGTAACAGGGAAATTAGTGGTGACTTTGACAAGAGTTTGAAAAGATTCTGAGGTGATGAAAATAAAGGTAAAGAAGAGATTGAGAGATGATGAAACACACTCATTGATGTAGGAAACTATTATTGCTGTGAACAGTAGTGAACAGGTAGTAAGTCAAGTAGAACAGAGTCCAAGAGTATTTTTTGATTGATACCATCAGAAGAGGAAATTTATTTTACAGAAGATAGGGTACAATTGCAAGAGAAAGTCTTTTGATGGGCAAAAAATGATAGGACTTAATTCATGAGCAGGAGTTGGCTCTAACCTGAAGCAGAAACACTTTGGGTTTACAACAGGAGGGATGATAGTGAATATGAGTGGAGACAGTTTCATGGATGTTGTGGTGTATGGCTGAATTAGTTTTATCTGATTGTTTCTGTGTTCTTACTGAAATGTGAAATGAAGTTCCCAGCTGAGATGATGGTCAGAGGTAGGGTCAGTTGTTTGGAGATTTGAAGAGAGAAAAATAAGAATAAAATAATCATGTTAGAGAGTAGGAAAGTTTATTCACATTGGAGATATAGTATAATTTCCTTGCACTACTAAATACCTCTTTGGAATGTATGCTCATGAATTTTAAATAAAACCAGTCATCAAGTTTATGAGTGTTATGTGCAAACATGAAATAGGTGATTGGTTGGGTTTAACTAGCATTAGGGTGTTGTCAGCGAAACACAGGGTGTTAAAATAATTTTCAGGGAGTGATGATAAAGATAGGCTATGAAATCTAAGCTGGGCTCTGAGACAAATGAGAGGGAGGATAGAAAGGAAAATAGGGGGGTACATGGATTTGAGATTTCTGTGAGGTGGAATGAATGCTGGAGTAATGGTATTAGGATACACAATTTTGAAACATAAGAAGAATAAACAGTCTGGGATGCTTGACATCAACATTTAGAGATATTAGTAACATTTGTGATGGCAAAGTCAAAAGTATAAGTAAGTGGGTTATAGGAACTATCACTGGGTATTTCCTTTGGAAGGGAGAAACTGTGGGAACATAGTATTAAATAATCTACCTGGGTATTAAAATCCCCAAACTTGCAGAAAGGAGTAGAGTTATAAAGGAAACTAAGTCATCAGTAAACAGAGATGGGGAGCTGACACAATGTGATATTGGTTTTATTTCATTGATTTCTATGAGTTCTTAGTTTTAAAACCATATTTTATTATAGAGATGACATTGAAGTAAAAATCAAACCATAAGGCCGAATCTCCCTTAACCCTGCCACTTCATCAGAGGGTGCTGGATGTTGACTAAACTCTGTTCTTATCTGCTTATTCTAGACTGGCCAGGATAAAGCTATTCTAGTAGCTCTATTTGCTTTGCTCCTCACTCTTCATGGAAACGTGGCAGGGCTTGCTATCATATCACCAGGAGTCTCTGTCTCCTAACCAGGGCCTGCTGAAGCCAGTCTCCAATGAACAGGCCTTCTCATCATGCTGCTTGATTCCTACCCCAACGTGCTGATCTCTCCCACATAGCTAAACGTTGGCACCACCACTATCAATCATGGCTCTAAAACAGGGCATTGGTCCTTCATTTAAACACTTGTTTCACTGTGAATGCCCTAGTTAGATAGTTACTCATATTTTCAGAGTTGATCATTTGACTGCTCTTCTTAATCCATCCAGATCTTCCTTCTGTCCCAATTACATTTACAAATTACTTGGCAAGTCTGTTCTCTCCATTTCCTGTGACCAATGAATCTTTATTCCAGGTTGTGGGTGCTGCTGCCGCCAGGTTGTCTTGATCATCTGCTGATTGTTTTTGGACAGGGAATTATGGGGAGAGTGGAATGGATGCTTTCAAAGAGCTGGCCGCCCAGGAGGGCCTCTGCATCGCCCATTCGGACAAAATCTACAGCAATGCGGGGGAGAAGAGCTTCGACCGGCTCCTGCGCAAGCTCCGAGAGCGGCTTCCCAAAGCCAGAGTGGTGGTCTGCTTCTGCGAAGGCATGACGGTGCGAGGCCTCCTGAGTGCCATGCGGCGCCTGGGTGTGGTGGGCGAGTTCTCACTCATTGGAAGGTAAACTTTCTCTCCCTTTCTTTCTCCCCTCCCCCCACACATACATACAAATTTTTGCACACTCAAGCTTGATTTCACAACACCGGACTCTAAAGAGGATGAGATGTGCTCTGGTGGGCTGAACATTAGCTCTGGCTCTCACTGAGGGTGGAGCTATTGTCATTTTCCTGCCAGACAAGAGCAGAACAGTAGATGATGAGATTACATGACTATTTCAGAAAAAGGTGAGAAGCTGTTGCCAGACCGTTTAATCCTGGAGGGTTATTCTTTTCCTTTGCTTCCCACCCCTTTCACCCTACCCCCAAAACACTGTGCGCTTATGTCTGTGATATATATATATAAGCATAGAAATCTTAACAAGTATTGGTAACTAGGGATCAGCAGTGAATATGAAAATATATGTTAAAATTTAAAATTTAAAGGGTTGGCTAAATGCAAATGTGTAGCTGAACTTTGGAACTTGATGATATATGATTTCTTGTATTTATGGGATGGCTAATAGTGATTCTATCAGCATGCAGTTTCTGCAGTGGCAGGTGGTGAGTTCAAAGTCTCTGCTCTTCCTTAAATCTAGACCACATCTACTTGTGTGGGAGTCAAGTTTCTATATCACTGTAGTTTTCACAGGCTTTTTGACCTACAAGGAGTCTTGTTAAATATGCCATCTTCTACTGTTGCACAGAGGAACTGGTACATTTTTTCAAGGAACCTGCTGAGTGTATGTTCAGGAAAGCCTCCTGTGGTCTCTGCCTCCATTACACTAATCCTTAGGGTCTTTGTGCTCCTCTCCTCTGCTCTGCTGGCTAGAGCACAATAATAACTTACTTGCTGAAGAGCCTCAGCCACTGACCCTCTTCTCTAGGAGACTGGTAGTGTGGACATTCTCCCTGCACCTTTCCTTTCCATCCGTGTGCTTATTGTAATGACTGCAATAAGAGTGACATCAGTCTCACCCTCCTTGGGAACTAGAGGCACAGGTCACTTTGCAGACTTTTAGAAGAAGGTAGAATAAAAATACAACTAAATGCATAAACTCACAAAGAGTACTCATCAGGTATGAGGAAGGATGGAGTCAAGGTCAAAATGTAAATCAAGATTAAGAAAATTATTGAATTTGGGTAAAATTGTCATACTGCCACTAAGTGTCATTTTGGCAGCTTCAGCATGATGCAAGCATGAAGCCATTAAAGAAAGCAAGCCTTTTAAGAGGGTGTATTTAAAGAAGGAACATTATTCCCTTTATGAGTGAAAAGGACATAAGCAGCATTGTTGAAGTATTACGAGAAATAAGGTTCTTAATATATGCGCCAGGACAGATTGCCTCCAGATCTTCAGTCTGTCTAACTGATTTGGTAAAATGGCTGCTTTAAGATGGGTGCTTATTTAAAAAAAATTCTCACGTTTACCATTTTCAAAAGAACAAGAGTCTGTTTTGCAGAATACATTCTTTTTAATATCCCTGAAGAGGCTCTCTGCCTGAGTTCTGGGGATCTTGAACAGATGTGCCAAGTACGTGAGCTCTGGGGTATACAGACTGCCTAATTGTGAAGCGGAATTATACAAAACACTGCAGTGAGTAATCAGAATATAAGGAACTCATTTCATCAGTATTACTTAAAAGCTGGACAAGCATGGTCATGTCAAGTTACCTCTCCTGCTAATAATGCAACTGAGCTGAGACAAGTATTTCTGAGAGTCTCACATGTGCTTGCTCATAAGTAAGTCAGCTACATGGGATATCTGTCTACTTCTTTTATTCCTCTTTTTCTCTGCGCCACCTCTGCTGAGCTGTACTGACACATCCTAAGGAACTGTCAACACAATGAATGTTGGAGTTTCTAAGGACACTGCTCCCTACACCAGTGGTTATTATCAATGATGCATGCAGCCCTTGAGATGCCAAAGTTGCACTGCACTTGGTGCTTCTCGGCCTTTCTGGGCTACATTCCAGGAGGGCCTCTCAGAATTCCCTTTCATATTCAAGGATCAGCACATTTTACCTAGTGTGCTGAAGGCTGATGTGCCTTTAATCAGCCCGTACCTCTAGAATTCATCTGTAAAACTGAAATTAATGTTTTTCCACCTATCCGTTTATTATATTTGTCTAATCACAAAGTGCCTACTTGCCTCTTAAACCACAGCAGAACACCAGTGGGAGTCCCTTTGTGGACCCTTCTGCTCCCCTAAAGATAGTCTCTGAGGGTAAGCGAAAGGATTCTGGCTTTAGTTCTGTGACTGGAGCTGGTATCATCCTGGCCTTTGAATCTGGTTTCCTCACCTTGGAAAACCTGTATTGTTTGTTTATATTCCATCTTGTTAGAAGTCTTTGTAGGCATAGCATATTTAATTATGTATTTCCTAGCCCCCTTTACTAGGAGTACAGTTTGTCATTTCTCTATTGTACAAACTACACATCCCACAAAGATAATAATGCCAACACCTTTTTATTTTATTGCCTCTCTCTACTATATCCTGGCCAATCAAATTATAAATACATAGTCCTTACTTTTCAATGCTTATCCCTGATTGATGTACGTTGTTTTATCTGTCATCTTTCCCAATTCTGTTAGCTTTTCACCCATTAGACACACTTTCCATTATCTGCCCCTGTAGAGAAATAACCTCTGGCTTCCAAAACCTGATCCATTACAATTCTAACACCATGTTTTTTTTCCACCCAACCCTCCCTGTCTCTCTTCCATTTCTACCCCCCTAGTTTTTGTCCATGTGTCTTTTATACTTTTTCCTGTAAACCCTTCCCCATGGTTTTTGATTTGAAATAAACACTAAACATAAATACATTTGAAAAATGGTTGGAATGAAATAATTGTTTTTAATATGGGAAGAAGGCTACAGTTTTACTTTAAATGAAGGACTTTGTTTTTTTTTTTTTTTGATTTTATTTATTTATCTTTAGAGGGGAAGGGAAGGAGAGAGGGAGAGAAACATCAATGTATGGTTGCCATTCATGCATCCCCTGCTGGGAACTGGCCTGCAGGGAACCGGCCTGCAACCCCTGTATGTGCCCTGACTGGGAATCGAACCACAATTGTCTGGTTCGCAGGCCTGCGCTCAATCCACTGAGCTACACCAGCCAGGGCCGGACTTTGTTTTTAAATGTAATTTTTTTGGTCTTTTTCTTCTAGAACCTAAATACACATTTGGAAAAGTGACCTCTCTCCTCTTGAAACCTAAGATGATATACCATGGCGTTATATTTCACACATTTTTTAATTGAAATGAGTTATTTTAGATCCCATCTTTTCATTATAAAAACAAATGGGTAAATGTATCTGAAGTTTGCAGCTTTCGCACAGAACCACAAAGGTGATGTACTATTAAGTGGATGTGGCGTTTCAGTGAAGTGCGACACTCCCCTAAAGTGAATTCTAATCAAGAGGCTGACAAAGCAGATGAGTGTGGTTGTCACACTCACAGATACATAATCTGGTTTCCCCTGCATCCCAAGGGCCAAAGCTGTTTACTAACTTGCCTTTAAACATGCCTGCTTCACGGGCAGGTTCTTGAGAGCTTTGTGGAAGATTATTACACTGTTAGAAAAGGACTATGAGAACTGTGTGCTAGGGAAGGAGAAGGATTTAGTTAGGTACTCTGGAGAATAAATATCATTTGTAGGATATTGGCAGGCATTTTGAGTGTAGCTCTCAGCCCCAGAAATGCTCATAGGATTGAGAATGGATTGCCATAGTAATGAGAATGGATGGTCTGCATTATTTTTTTTTGTATTTTTTAAATTGAACTTATCGGAGTGACATTGGTTAATGAGAGTATGCAGGTTTTAGGTGTATGATTCCATAACACAACATCTGTAATGGATGGTGTGCCTTCAGCATAGTCCCGATTAGCCCTTCCTTCATAGCAACGCCTGTTTCCATGTTTCAGCTCATGGACATCTGAAAGCTGAGACTTGGCTGTCATGGCGTCCACTTGCCACTCAGGTGTTAGAAACACTGACCGAAGTGGGCCAGGGGCTTGCAGGTGTGCTCTGCGTTGGCTGGCTCAGTTTGGATGAAAAAGGAGGTCATTATGAGTTAGCCCAGTTTGTTTTCGAGACTGACCGAAGACAACAGGGAATTTATCTTAGGATACATTTTCCGAATTCCTATGACAGTCTATTCCCAGCCATGCATCACACCGGCTGCTGCAGGGAGGAGCATATCAAACGCAGGTTTCTGGATCACACCCCAGGCTGTTGATAGACTTTCTCGATGAGGAACTTTACACCTTCTTCCTAGTCTTTGTTCTTTAAAGCCCCAAAGATGGGCTAGGTTTCAGAACTGTGACCCTGTGAAGGGTCACCATCTCATCACGCAGATGGTGTTCAGTCTGAATGAATTGCTGACAGGACAGATTTGAAAGGGGGAGATGAAAAGAAACTTTAACCCCACCTCTACTTCTTGGAATTTATTTACCATTCAGATTTTCTTTTAAAAGTAAAAGACACATCTGAGAAAAGTAAATATTAATAGTAAAAACAGCACAGCAGGAGTAGTCATAGTAACACACTATGGGCAACTCTGCTTTCTGTCTTCTGCTGATGCCCAGACTGGGCTATTGACCTGCCCCCTGAAAACATAGTCATGGGCCAATTTTCAGACTAATCAAGATGCAGAGTAGGAAGCGTTAAACATGTGACAGGTTTAGGCTCAGCCATCTCTCCGAGGCTAGGGTTACCCCAGGTGATCAACTGCTACACCTTGCTAACTGCCGGCATTGGGGTCTGATGGCTGAGTTATCCGTAAACCTATCGGCCCATATCATGAGCCTGGGGAGATTTAAAATTTTTTCAGCTTCCTCGGCATTACCTCCTTTAGATTCTGACTCAATATTGGGATGGGTCAAGGAGTTCATATGTACTTTTACATCAGCCTTGTTGAAATTTACCAATTTTAGGTATATAATTTGATGATTCTGGGTAACTGTATAGTGATTCAAGCACCAGAAAAATCATGATACAGAACATTTCCATCACCACACCA